GGGTCCGGGAAGCTGCTCCGAGCGGTGGGGAGGCGAGCGGAGGGCAGGGACCTCGGCGGAACCGAACTGGCAGCAGCCGGTCTATGAAGCCCCGAGCAGAGGGGATGAGCCCTCTCTCCGAGCCCGGCCCACCGCCCGATTCCCCTCCCTCCCCCAAGGACGCTCACATTTTCCCTTCCCCTTTTGCTTTCTTTTTTTTTTTTTTTCCCCTCCCTTCCCCGGTTTCGCTGCCAAGCGCAGGACTGGACTCGCAGGGATGCTGGGACGGGAAGCGCCGCTTTCCCAACCTCGCCGAGCCGGCACTTGGAGCGGGGGGCTGGGAGCTGCACCCACCACCCTGGGACACACACATCACCCCGCTCCGATGGGGGAAGCACGACCACCTCCCCACCACCCACCCCTCCACCCAGGGCTGCGGCTCTCCTCACGTCCCACTCGGGGGTGCCCCGGCTGTGCGAGGGTCGGTATCCTCTGCTCAGTACCCGGGACCCCCGCGCTCCCCCCGCGCTCGGCACAGGGCAGGTGGCAGCTGAAGAGCAGAGATATTTCAGATATTTCAGATATTTCAGATATTTCAGATATCTGAGACCCTCGAACCCGATGCGTATGAGCGGGGGTGGGGGGGACACTGGCATCGGGTAGCCCCTGACTGGGCAGTTTGCCACAATACCCCTACCACCCGTCCATGTGAAATATTGTATTTAACATCCCCTCTTCCATCCCTACCCCCTGTTCTGTGGATCATTTTCCAGACAGGGCTGCCCCAGGCACCCCCATCATGCAGGAACGGTCACACGCGTACCCTTCCATCAGGACTGGCACAGTAGCATGGATTTTCCCATATATTTTGGTGGACGGATGCTTTTATCCTGCAGAGGGGACTGAGCCTACTGAGCACAGAGGACACAAGCGTGGCAGGTCTCAGACCTTCTCCCCTTGCCACAGCACATTCAGGAGCCACCTGTGAGACCTTTCCCCACAGTCAGCTCTGCTCTCCCTTGCACACGGACGCTGCTTGGCCTCCCCATATTGCTCCCAGCCCTGGGAAGGGTTGCCTGGCTTGTCCAAACCCCCGTCTCAGCTCTATTTTTAGCCTTTCGTCCTTATTTAGCAGCGAGGCCGGGCGGGAGCGTGCAGGCAGGGCGTGGGAGCAGGCAGGGGACGTGGTGGATGCTGCTGCCCACCCCGAGCCGGCAGCGACAACTGCGCCGCTGATTCACTGCCGAGGCTTAAGGGTGAGGAATAAATAGCCCGTTCCTCCCAACCGGGAACCGAGCGGAAAGTTATCCCCTGGGATTAGTTTTCACTTTGAGGCCCTGGAGCAGCCGGAGGACAGGGATAAGGATAGGGATGCATGGGGAGAGGCACGGGCACAGAAGGAGCATTGTGTTTGGGGCTGGGAGGGGAGCAGAGCCCCTCACCTCAGCTCCTGGCATCACATGTTTTTCTGCTTCTCACAGCCATTGTGAGCGAAGGTTTCACTTCCCTATTCCCATCCTTTTCCACTTCATTTTGCCATGGGGGAAAAAAGAGAATAAAAGACTGCGGGAACAGGTTAACCCACATCTTTTTGCTTTGAAAGGCACAGGCAGGGACAGGAATGACTTGAAATCATTGCACTACCTCAAGGCAGAAGTATGTGTGACCTATATCCCCACTAAAAGAGCCTGAGACTTTT